ATTGTATTTTCCCAAAGTCTGTGCAATTTTTAAGACAAAGAGATTGGGGTTTCTGACACGCAAACTTCACTTAAGCACTCATTATTTGCCTAGCTTTTAATTTTTTTTGTGGGTATGATGTGGCTTTCCATGCAGCACCTTTCACAGTCGCTTTACAAATAGCTTTCTTCAGCTACACATACCTTTGTGAAATTATCTCAGAACTGAATAGCGGGTGCATTTAACAAGTGGTTTCGTCCAAGAGCGACTGAAGATTGACAACCTGTGCAGCTGTTATTGTGGTAAAATCATTTCAGTGCCTCATTTTCCACAGCAGTCACTGATGCAGAGGACAAGAGGGAGGTGTACTTGCTTCCAGCCCTGCGCAAGCTGAAAACAGCTGCTGCCTTTATAGTGAAATTCTCACAGTGGCTGTACCCTGTGAAGTCTGATGAAGTCCATTATTTCTTCTCGAAGAGCACTAGTCAGGTGTAGGACCCTGACAAGTGGTTCTACAGTTCTGTATAGACAGATCAAAGCAACAGGTATGAAACTCCAGGCTGTGACAGTGATCAGCTGTGGGAAAGGTAAGTAAATTTTCTCTCCCTCCAACTGAGATGTTGTAGACCACAGAACTCAGCAGTCTGTCAAGGGGACACTTCTGCTCACATTGCCTCAGCACAACCAGGTGACCATGTCCTACTCGGAGCCACAGACATGCTTTGGAAAAGGCTGTGCCCCCAAACCACAGCTTGCACATCACAGTCTGCACCAGCCCCTCCTCTGGGAAATATTAGTACTGCTATGGAAGTCAGGGTGCTTGACTCCAAGTTTCTATGCATAATGGAACATGTTTCAGTACCAAGGAGTTTTTAAGGACAGGAAATGATTTAAAAAGATGTCTTTTTAACAATATAAAAAAAGAGAAACATTTTTTAGGTTGGAGTAAACATTTGCTGCCAAACTCTGTATTAAAGTGATACTGCTTTGAGCTTTAAGTCAACAGTTCTTTAAAACTTTGTTAATTAATCCTTGATTTCATCCACATCCACTCTTCTTCCCCATTTCAATGTGTGCTGTGATTAATACATACTGAACGTACTTGCCGTACTGTAGTCAGCTTTATGTGCCTTTGCATCTAGAGCAGAACAGGGAAACCTACAATAAGAGCTCCAACTACTGTATTCTTTAGCAATGTTTTATTAAAAATTAACAGGTACAAATATCAAATATACCCACACCATTAAATTTCCATACATGGGGTTTTCTTGGCTGTAAGAAGAGCATATTCTAAATCTATAGTTTCAGTGGCTGGTCCTGAGCATGTCAAAACCCAGTCCTGATCTCCAGTTTCCCATCTGGTGTTCCCAGTAACACCAAGACAATCAGGCACAGGTGAAAGCCTACCACCACTGGCTGGGCTGTACTACAGTATTTGAGAGCTGCTGCAGGAACACCAGTTTGGGTTTGGTTTTAAAACTTAGAATAAATTAAAAAAAAAAAAATATTAAAAAAATCTATCAGTTTTTGTAAGGCTTTCAGGCTCCAGGCTCCATTTAAAAAGAAATAAATCCACCATTAAGCAGGCACTTGTAATACAAAACAGTTTACTCCCAACTTACCAAGACAGAAGAACTGCAGACTTCTGAGCACTTTCCTTGGAAAACAGGTAAAGAAAATAAAAGGTAAAATAAAAGGTAAAGAAAAGGTAAAGAAACTGAGCAAGCTGCTCACTTGCTCTCCAACGCCTTCCAGGTGTATTTCACCACAGGTATCGGAGGAAGGGCATGCTTCAGTTTCTACTAATTGAACAAACACTCGATCCAACATGTGAGAGCCATCAGGTTAATGCCTGTACATATTTTACCTGACCTACCATGAGCAGCGGGCATTTTATACAAAAGCTCAACAGGCTGTGGGGTTTACCTGGTACCTTCACCACAGGACTGTTCAGGCTGGCGCACACAGAAGAAGAACCAATTCTCTTCTAAAAGAAGGTGGAAAAACCAAAAGGCTCTTTAGAAAATACCCACAACCCCTCAGAGAAATAGAGAAATACTCTTTGGTAAGATCAGTATGATTGTGTTCATCTCTGGTAAAGTAAAACAGCCCTCTTAAGGTAACAATGATGACCACTGAAATCCAGTGGTCATAAGCCCCCGTGACAGAACACACATGCCGTTTGGTTACTGCAGCCAGGTCCCTGTCCCAGGAAGAAGCCAGTTTTCGTCTTCAGAGAGCTGGCAGTGAGAGGGACTGCAAATCAGAAGGAATGCTGGATTTTGGCAGAGATATATGAAAGTAAAATACCCACTTGCTGTATTTCTGTGGTTCGCAGCTTTGCAGTTAGCTGGGTGAGTCTGGGAGGCAAATGGAGAAAATGAGGGGGGACAAAAAAACCCCAACATAATTTTGCAACAGCAGTCCTCCTGAATCAGCAGCCCACTCTGTGTAGTCTCTGCTCCGAAGTGAAGCAGTGCACAGTGGTTTAGAGCCAAGAGGCTTTCAGAAAGTCACAACTTTGGATACTTTCACTTTTGTTTTTTGCAGCTTTGGTGCTTCTGTGATTTCTTCGTAATCTGCGCTCATTCCAGTGGCCCATCGCCCAACCGTAACCTGGTCTGCAGAAAGAGGCAGGAGATTATGGAAAGGCTCAGTATTACCATTATGTCAAACTGAAGCATCTGAAGATTTGGCCTGCAATTGCCTGTCATTAATTCCTTGAAGATCTGTCCATTCAGTTCTAGCTCTGAAGCCAACTCTCCTTACACAATATATGTCAGAGTGGGTTTTTTTTAAGCTGGGGTTTGTAAACTCCCTTTCTTCCCACCCACAAATTGTCAAGGTTCACAAAATCATTACTACCACTACATGTTTACCATTACTATAATTTTTTCCTGTTTTTTTCTATTTGTCTGTCCAAAGCAGCATTCAGAAAACACACAGACAGTGTATTAGCTCTCACCTAAGTCCAAATAACTCTTATGATGAAAATTTCAGAATATGTTAAGTGTGTCTGGATATGAAGGAAAGACCTCCTCTGTTATTAAGTGCTCAAGGCCAGGTTGGACGGGGCTTGAAACAACTAGGTCTAGTGGAAGGTGCCCCTGCAAGGGAAGGTCCCTTCCAAACCTAATCCCATGAGTCCATGATTTACAGATAAAAAACATGAGTCTGAGAAAGCACAACAGAGCAAAATTTACATTTCTCAACCCGCATCCCTGCATGTAATTAACATCATCCTGCTGTTTAAATGCTATTTAGATCACTTTGTACTCCTTCGCTAGAAAAAAGCTGTTAACCAATTCATACTTCTTTCCTGAATAATTTAATTTTGACTGGATTGGAACAAATCAAATCATACCAAGAACATACAATCATAGACTGGTTTGGGCTGGAAGGGACCTTAAAGCTCATCCAGTTCCACCCCCTGCTGCC